ATAGATGTAAACCTTGCAGAATTAAAGGTGGATGCAATCACTATAGCTGGGCATAAGGTAAATTCAAACTCAGTCCTGACCTTGTGTAAAGTTGCAAATCGTCTCTATCTTAGTTCTATGGTCCTCGAAATGGCGCATTAATTCTGCGATCCAAGTACACGTCCGATATTTTGCCTTGGATGCATGGCGGAGGACAAGAAAGGAAACTTAGATCTGGGTACATTTTAAAAAATCTCTGCCAAACCTTAGCGTGTACTCTTTTTTTTGTAGCACTGAAAATACACCAATGATTATGGGTCTAGGAGCAGCTGCAGCGGCGTGTAATACTGCAAAAATAGAAGCACACCTTCGTGCTGTTCGGGACTACTTTGAAGGACAGCTAAAAGTGGGACAATTTTCTCTTGGAAGCTTACTTAAAACCCGATCATTTAGGAGGCACTACCGGAAGAACATGTAGTTCATTTTGCCTCCTCTCCGCGGCTACCTAACACAAGTTCTGTGGCTTTTGTGAAATATCCAAAGCCATCTACAGATCTCATGAGCAAGTAAGCTATATCAAAGATATTCAAAACTGTAATAAATTCAAAGTTCAGGTGCAAGACATTCTATGCAAGTAGTGGGTCAGCTTGCCACTCGGGTGCAATAAGGTAAGCCATACAGTAATTTATCATTTAAGGTATTCTGAGATCATGCATCCAATATAAACAATTTAATATGTAATCTTATTATACTTTTAACCAAATAATTTGAGTGTATCGTACCTACACAACAAGCATAGTTGCACTTTTTTCAGTCCTGTTTTGCTTGCATGTGGAATCAGTAAAGAAATGGCGGAAAGAACAGTACGATTCAGTTTTGGCAGAGAAACCACAAATGAGGATGTAATAAATTAACTTGAGCTTCAGCAAACTTAATCAAATCCCTAATATTATCTAGGTGAATCGGGTGGTGAAAGAGTTGAAAGCGATGATGTTCCTGGCAAAACATGGAAGTTCGCTGATGAATGTCATAAATGCGGGTCCCGTTCCGGGATTCTGATCGAGTC